CTGCAGCCCATTTGAGGCATTGCACAGATCCAGTGGAAGACTGTCCCATCCCGTCCCGTCCCATCCCATCCCATCCCATCCCATCCCATCCCATCCCATCCCATCCCAATCCCAATCCCATCCCAATCCCATCCCGTCCCATCCCATTCCCTGCAAACAGCACCAGGACCCTGGGAGGTCCTGCTTGTCCCCGCATGGGATTTCTCATCCTCCTGCTGATCCTCCTACGGGTCCCCAGCAAAGGGGTGCTACTCGCACCCCACTGCCGGCAGCCAGGCTGGGGCCGGGGGCGGAGATGTCCCCCCAGGGTGGCAGCCAGCCCAGTTGCCCCTCACAGCCCTATGTCACACCAGCATCCCGAGCCCCGGTTCTGCCGCTCCTCCCGCTGCCACAAACGCCAAGGAAAATGTATAGATGTTCTAAAATGGAAAATAAAGCACTCCCCCGCACACGCTTCTCCTCCCGAGGACAGGATGAGAGAACAAACATGTGACAAACGTTAGTCATGTTGTTTAATGCACTACCAAAACGCTGTAGTGACACGCAGCTCCTTAAACACTCTCTGGAATAACATCTGCAGGGTCAGCACCGGTGTGGCTCTGGCCGGAGGGGGGCTGCGGACCCCTATGAGCCCCCGACCGCGGGTGGCATTTGCAGAGTGACATCTCTGCTGTCGGTGCCGAGAGGAGCCAGATGTGCTCCCCAGGGGAATAACACAGCGAGCGGCAGCCCACGACCGCTTCTCCTACGTCTGTCACCTCTGCGTCTCCTGAATTGACTGCGGGGATGCTGCGAGCTGAAATTCGGTGGGAAGCGAGGATGGGGTCAAATTTGGGGGGGTGCTGGGACCATAGGTGGCTGGGCACGGAGCGCTTGGCCTCAGCTGAGCGGCCCACACCAACGTGAGCGTGTGTCTGCTGGGAAGCATCGCTCGGCTCCCGGGAGGGCAGCGCACCCTGGTCCCGGCTCTCATCCCTCCACGGCGCCTGGCACAGACCCCGGGGAAACACGCTGTCCCCAGGGCTGCCCCCTGCCCGGCGGGGGATGTTCCCCTCTCCCTGCGGGGCTGGGGGGTCTCAGCATGCCGTTCCGCAGCGGTGAGAGGGGGGACCCGCTGCTCCCCAGGGGAATAACACAGCGAGCGGCAGCCCACGACCGCTTCTCCTACGTCTGTCACCTCTGCGTCTCCTGAATTGACTGCGGGGATGCTGCGAGCTGAAATTCGGTGGGAAGCGAGGATGGGGTCAAATTTGGGGGGGTGCTGGGACCATAGGTGGCTGGGCACGGAGCGCTTGGCCTCAGCTGAGCGGCCCACACCAACGTGAGCGTGTGTCTGCTGGGAAGCATCGCTCGGCTCCCGGGAGGGCAGCGCACCCTGGTCCCGGCTCTCATCCCTCCACGGCGCCTGGCACAGACCCCGGGGAAACACGCTGTCCCCAGGGCTGCCCCCTGCCCGGCGGGGGATGTTCCCCTCTCCCTGCGGGGCTGGGGGGTCTCGGCGTGCAGTTCCGCAGCGGTGAGAGTGGGGACCCGCTGGGGTCCCTGCCAACAGCCCGAAAGCTTTTGATGAGCGATGCCCCGGGGAGATGATGGATGCGGCCGCTCCAGGGACCGCGCTGCTCCTGCTCGAGCTGCTTGACAACAGCTCCATCCCGCTAACCGCAGGGGAGCCGGCTCACCTTGGCAGTGTCCTTTCAAGACCAAAATATGCTTGGAAAATTGTTCGTGCGAGGGATTAAATATAAATGTACCTGAGGGTTTAGAATAGGGGCTGGCGACCTTTACGGAGAGGAGGAGTCCTCCGCATCCTCCCTGCAGCGAGCAGCCTGCACAGGCTCCGCCATGGGGGGGGCTCTGAACCGCATCAGGGGGGTCTCCACCCCCAGACCCATCCCCTCGTAGCGAGGGACCTTTGGAAGAAATAAACGAGCTGAGTGGGTTTGACCTGCTGTGAGTAAATGGGAGGTTAATGCTTCACCCTGTCCCCTCCAGCCACCCCTGTCCCAACCCCATTGCTCAGGGCAGGACCTGTGATGGGGACTACACATCCCATGGTGGCACCTCTCCTTGTCCTTCATCTCCCTCCTCCCAAGGAGAGGCTTCCCAGCTCCAGGAGAGGTTCCCCAGCTCCAGGAGAGGTTCCCCAGCCCCAGGAAGCCCAGGGGAAGC